CTGGTTAGCAGCCATCCAGGCCCAGATCCATCCCAGCATCTACTCCATCCACGAGCTCCTAGAGTGTGTGGAGGAGCCAGTCCTACAGATCCAGATGTCACTGCTGAACAGGGCAGGTTCTGGAGAGCATAGTCCTACCTGAAGCCTACAAGCACAAAGGTCGAAGCCAGCAGGAGGTGTGCAGCGCCGTGGAGTTCGTGCAGAACTCCAGATGCCCTGCCTCGCCACAGGATCACCCTGACTGGGCAACAGCAGGATATCTGAAACAAGTCTTGGTGTTGAAGCCTGAGGTTCATGTGAATGTCTGTGGTCTGGGCTGCCGCCTACAGCCATGTTGATGTCTATGGCCATACAGCCCTGATGGACATGTTGGTGTCCATGGCCCATGTTAACACTGAAGGCCATGCAGATTATATGCTTCTGTGGGGCTACCAGAGCCATATTGATGATTGTGGGCTGTGTTGCTGCTAGGGGCCATGTTGGGCTCCCTGGTCCTGCTGTAGCTGGGGGTTGTGCTTCTGTCCACGGCCTGTGTTACCACCAAAGGCCAGATAGAGGTCTGTGGTCTATGCTGCTATCTGAAGCCATATTGGTGTCTGTGGGACATAGTGCAACTGAGGGCCATGTTGGTGTCCCAGGCCTCTGTTGCCCTGGAGGCCATTTTGATGTCCACAGCCTATGATGTCACCAAGGGCCATGAGGGTGTGTGTGTGGTCCTTTCTATGGCAGAGGGCTGTATTGATGTTTGTGGTCTGAACTGCCATCAGGGAATATGATGAGGTCCATGGTCCAAGCTGTTGATGGAGGCTGTGTTGATGGATGGACATGATCTGTGCTCCCGTAGGCCATGTTGATGTCTGTTGTCTGAGTTACCACCAAAAGGCATGTGGCTGTCCGTGGTCTGTGCTGCCCTCTGAAGCCATGTTGATGTTCATGGGCCAGACTGATGCCAAAGACCATATTGGTGTCAATGGTCCATGCTGCCACCAAGGGCTATGATGGTCTCTATGGCCTGTGTCATGGCAGAGGGCCATGTGTGTGGTCTGTTCTGCCACTGGAGACCATGTTGAGGTCCATGGCACATGCTAATGCCAGAGTCCATGTGAATGTTTATGATTGGTACTATCATGTAGAAGTCCACGATCTGTTCCTGCTGACTGTAAAGGGCAAGGAAGCTACTTTTGCAGTGGTACTGATGACTGCAGACTCAGTGTGAAGGAAAGTCATGGAACGCGCCTGTGAGAACCCCAGCCTACATGGTAAGCCATTAAAGGAACCTCTGAAAAACTGTGCTGATGATGAAGTGTAGCTCTCCACGACTGATAGTTTCTGGCAGGCGTGTGGCTGGGGAAAGACTTGGTTTCCTTCGAGGTGCTGGTACTGGGAGTTCGACCCAGTGAGTATATGGGCAATTCAAATTGGACTTGTAGGGTTTTTGGTTTTGTTTTCTGTTTTTTCTTTCGTTTTTTTTTCCTTTTCGAGGAAAGGTTACAAGAGTGAGGGGCCACTCTTGTGGGAAGTGAGTATGATTGGGGTGCATTATATGGAAATTCCCAAATAATAAAAATATTATGTTGGAAAAAAGGCAGACAACTATGTGCTAAGGCAATCAATGCATTTTTATAAGTAATATTTTATAAAATTGCTCACAGAAATTAACATCTCAAATATTTAAATTAAGATACAAAATTTAAAAGTTTCATTTTTCTAACAAAATTAGGAAAAGTTTGACAGAAACTTCTAAAACTTGTCTGTTATTTTTTAAATTTTTTGTCTGTTATTTTTATGCTAGTTATTAACAAACGTTAATTGTTCACATTGACGGTGTCACTGGGATTTATATGTGCATATATCATTGATCATATCTCTACTCTTCCTCCCTTTCTCTCTAACTCTGTGGTCACTGGGCAAGCTTTCTACCATCTGAGCTACATACCAGTCTCCTTAGTTACCTTCTGTAGTGCTGGTTCAGGGGTCACCAGCTACCTCAGCTTAAGCTTATTTGGGAAAGACTTTTTTCTCTGAAGGTTAACTTTGGGAGGCCCACAAATAAATGCTGGCAGTTATTTTTCTCCCATCTGTCACATACACTATTCCATGCCCTCCTGGCTCTAAGGAAAGGTCTATTCAATGCGAGTTGAAGCTTCTCAGCTTTTCAGTCTTCTTTGTTGCTGTTCTGGACTTTTGGCAGTTATCCATGTCACAAAGAGGTTATTCTCTGCCCACGTCTATTTGGGGCTATAAATACCTCCTGTACCTGGTTGTCCATGTGTTTCTCAAGCTTTGGGAAATTTTCTATTTCGCTACAAGGGTTTTCTATATCATTAGCCTCTTTTCTATGTCGAATCAGCATATACTTATGCTTAGTTAGTCTCTCTCTCTCTCTTTCTCGATATATATATATATATATATGTGTGTGTGTGTGTGCATGTATCCTATCTACAGATCTACCTACCTTTAGTTTTTAATGATTACATACATACATACATACATACATACATACATACATACATACATACATATGTGTGTGTGTCTTTAAGCCTTGATATTTTCTCTTTTGCTTGATCCACTCTATTGGTGAGGCTTCTAACTTCATTTTAAAGACTCTTATCGAACTTCCCCTTCCCCCTAAATATTTTTGGGCTCTGTTTCAGAATATATTTTAATTTTTGAGACAAAAGTCTAACTATATAGCCCATGATAGCCTGGAATTCACTATGTAGCCCAGGGTGGTCTCAAATCCAATAGTGACTCACCTGCCTCAGTCTCCTGAGCACTGAGATTAAATTCATGTCAAACTATGACTGCTCATTAAGTAGTCGTTCTTTTGCAAAATGTATTTATTTATATTTATTCTTTTATGAAATCAGACATTAATAGCCAATGCATATTTACATTCTAAAACATTACCCAATTTAGTGATAAAGAATTCAGTGCAAATTAGAAACAGCTTATATGCTCAGATCTATACAGAACACCAAACATAATAGACTTACTAAATTAAGAAGGAAACACAATTATAGTTCTTATATTTTCCCTCAACATAACATTTTTATTGATTATTTGGAAATTTCACATCATGTACGCCAATCACACTAATTTCTTAAGTCCTCCCAGATCTGCCCCTTTCCCCACCCTTCCATCCAAAAAAGCAGCAAAAATAACAAAAATTGTAATAAAATAAAGCCAACCAAAAACAAAACAAAACAAAAAACATTAGGTATTCTTTAAAAACATTCTTTTAAAAACCTTTGGTATGTCTTTCACTTTGATATCTTTGGAACTTTGGAATCAATTCAAGAGAATTATGAAATTTTTAAAAAATCATGCCCTTTTGCACTAATATCTCCTGTTTATACACTGAATTTTGTCAATGAGCATCTGCTGAGATGGGTATTTGTCTGCTTTTATTATAGTTTTAGTACAGAATGTCTTGTAAAGGCTCATTCATTGACGACATGGTCCCTGACACAGCCCTGCTCAGGGAAGTTTGGATTATGAGGAATTGAACCTCATCAATGAGCTTTTCCATTCGTTTACAAGCAAATCAGGTAAGGACTCTCAGAAATCAACAGGTGAAAGTGCATGGTGCTCAAGCCTGGTCACTTATGTTAAATCCCTCAAGCCCACAGAAGGAGAGAACCTACTCCCAAAAGCTGTCCTGGCTTCCTAACGCATGCTCTGGCATTTGCATCCTGTGTGTGTGCACAGACATGCACACACACACAACAAATAAAGAAAAAATGAAATCTTAAAATAAAAATGAAAATTTCCTCTCTACTGAAGTGATGGGTTGTGTGAACAGGAGCAGCTGCCACTGTCTTTCTCTGCGACTAGTTTCTCTCCATGTTTCTTAGTTATGTGCCCTGGAGTAAGATCTGGAGCTGGCACACAGTCCCTGCAGGCTGATTCTGGAGACACTTGCTTTGCACACTCCATAGGGTGAGGAGGGTGCAATGATGCTATAGGACATCAAGAGTCCTAGCACTAACTGCGACGGCCACTAGGAGTGTCGTGGGAGGCTAAGAGGTTATAAGTCAACAGGGTTGGGGCACATGGGTCCTGCCATTCACTGGCAATGCCCAGGGCTGCAGAGCTTCAAGACTCATCTCTTGAGCAGAACTACCAACAGTCTTAAAGGGGAACTGTACTCAGTTCTCCTCCCTGTCACAGACAGGTTTCACTCTGAACAGAATTCTCTGTCAGTTTATTTCACATAATCTCCCAGAGGACCAGGCACAATTATGTTTATTGTCAGTTTCTGGAAACAGGGTGCAGAGCCCTTTGATTCCCACAGCAGCGAGCTCAGACAAGACTTTTTCAAAGTAGCTTCCTAAATATATGCTGGGAAGTGCTGAGAAATTCTCAGCCGAGTCATCCTGTTCAGTCTGGGTCTCTGTGTTCCCCCAGCACTTCTGCACAGTGCTGGTGTCCAGCTGTGCTCACTGGGTCTCTTCCTCTTTCACTTCCAACTTCGCATACAACCAATGCTGGCAGGTTATCCCACCATCAAAGGGCATGAATTTCTCCAAGCCACGTGCAGGATGCTAAGCTTCACTGTTTTCCTACAGTCAGATCTTGGAGCAGCTTCTCCTCCAGCGTTTTATTGTTGTTTTGTGGTGCCAGGGATCTAATCTAGTGCTTTGTGCAATGCAAATGCTCTGCCTTTAAGCTATCCCTACTCAGCCTTGGTTTTATTAAAATAGAGTCTTGCTATGTAGCCTAACTAGTCCCCAACTCTCATCCTACTGTCTGCTCCTAACTGTAGGCTGCCTCCATGACTCGCCTTCTCAGTTGTTTTGAGTCTTTTAGTGGGTTTCTGCTGGGTGCCTGTAATCTGCTGCCTCACAGTTCTATTTTTAAATAAGATTTCAATTCAGAAATAAAGGAGAGGCAGCAGAGAGTACACAATATTCTTTAGTTAAAAGATCTCTGAATAGTGACAATTTAAAGACAAAACACAGAGCTAAATAAAGTGACTTTTAACAACTTATAAATACCTTCTGCTCCAGGGTGAGCTGATATTTTTGCCTTACTCTCTTGCACTTGTTGAACCAGCTGTTCTCATCCATGATAAGAGGTGGCCCCACATTCTCTGGAGTGCTGCTGTCACTGTCACTGCTCCCGAAAGTCCTGAGCTCCTCCTCATCACTGCTAATGCTATCAGAACTGGGAAGAAGAAAGTGACATGGCATGTCCCAAGTTGACTCTGAGAATTAACACTTCTGTTTTGTAAGCACTGGTGAGCAAACTCGAAAATAGTTAGTGGCAGAGATAGAATTATAACAATTCCACTATAAAGACTTAAGTGTCTTGACAAAATGGCAAGCTGGCATGGCCTGTTGACTTCCTTGTCACAAAGCCAGGTCTAGATCACAACCCTTAAAGTGAGATTTTCAAATCCAAAGCGTTAACATAAAACACGTGAGCATGCCCAAAGAAGAAAAACAATTATCAGAGAAAATGAGAAACTCCAGATAAGTATGAATGGCTTTGTAGTGGGATTCTTTTATTGCCGTAAGCAATGGCTCATCCATTCTCTACAACCAGCAAATGATGGTGGACACAACAAAGTCAGCAAGAGCAGCTCAGTTTTGTCAGAGAGAAGGTGACAAGTTTAGAAAAGCCAGTTACTCCTCAACATTTTGTTCCAGGACAGGTGTAGAAACAGAGAGAATGCCCATCAGAATCCATATTTAAAATTCTGCATGATACTTGTATAACAGAAACAAACAAGGTAAGGTGGAAAATGAGAGATAAGAAAGAAAGTAGATAGGAAAATGTTGACTATCTGAATCAAGGTTTGAAATAGTGAAAAAATAAAGCTGAAAATTAAAAACATAAAAAGTAATGCCATCTCCCAGTTCAAGAAGAGTATTAAAAGATATTTTAAAAATTAGTTCTTTAAACATCATTAATATACAAATTTTGAAAATGTTAAACTAATTTACTAATAGAATCAGAATTAATAATTTACTAATAGAATCAGTAAGAAAAAGAAAATTTGAACATTAAATCAGTAATTTAAAACAATTCCCACGAACAGAGAAAATCTTTCCCAGAGAAGTGCATACTGGTTGCTTATCCAATTGCAAATGGTTAGCCTTAAAAACATACATATGTGAAACATTATATAGGCTGAGCAGGTTTTATTTAGAAATATCTATTATGTATATATACATATATGCATATAATAAGTTAATAAAAGAAGAGGCCATGAATTTAAAAGATAGCAAGAAGGGGAATATGGGAAGGTTTGAAGGGGGTAAGGGAAGGGGAAAACGGTATAATTATATTATAATCTCAAAAATAAAAGAAATAAAACAATTTCTATAATCATGTCATATAAATATTCTTATAAGGCTAAATTTATCAAATGTTCAAGACATTTTAAATTTTCAATAAAGCTTTGGATAACAAAAAATCTTTCATGATACCACCAATATAACTTTATTTAAGTCAATATTATAAGAAAAGTCAATTTCACTCATGAATGCATAAAAAATAAAATACAACACATGTATATAAAAACCAAACAAAATATATAACATGGAATACAATAAATGGTTTAATAGATAACACACAGGCTGGAGATGTGAATACATGAATGAGCATAATCTTAGTATTCATGAGGACCTGGGTTCAATCACCAGCTCCAGAGAATAAAAGCAAAGAACAGAGTAAAAAGATTATGCTATAATTACTCCTCTAAGATGTTTCAAAGTGTAATCGTGTTAGCTAAAGTTAGTAGAGTGGGCACTGTAGTTGTAGTAACTGTTAATCTAGGTATTAAGAAGAAAAGGAGGATAAGGAGGAGGAGAAGATGACAATGAAATAGAGGAAAATGCTACAACAACCAATCTGAGCACACAGTAAAACAAACCTAGACACAAAGGCACTAGGATTACTTGAGCCCAGGAAGCAAGGCCAGCCCAAGCAACATCTGACAACCTGTCAGGAAAGACAGGTAGGGCAGCAGGGAGAAGAGAGAAGAAGTGAAAGAGAAAGAGAGAGAAAAATAAGAGAGAATCCCATGTGAGGGAGTAAGGTGGAAGAGAAAAAACAAAACAAAACAGAAAGCCAAAAACCCCATAACAAAAGTAATAGACTTCATTCAAAAGCATGTCAAAGGTTAGTATGAATGAGCTAAAACTATTTACTAGGAGTGAAACTACTACAAAGCAAACCCAGCTATATCCTATACCTATAAAATGAATCTGAAACATATTTTAAAGTGCCGCTAAAAAATGCTGGCTGGCAATACTGTTATGATGATTCAGATGGTAAAATCATTTCCTTTTGTAAGCCTAATGACTTGTTAGATTCCCTGGACCCATGATGAAGGACAGAACTCACTTCTGAAAGTTGTTTGCTGACCTTCACATGTACACTGTGGCACACATCCACACACACACACACACACACACACACACACACACCAAACATAACCATACTATTTATGAGTTAAGTAAATCTTTAGAGGACATGAAATGATTATGACATTATAATATTATATATTAATATTAAAATATAATGTTTAGGTTATTGGTGGCAATAACCTAAATATTCTATTATGTAAGGTACAGTAGGGATCAGATTTTTGTCTAGGTTATTTACAGCTTTTTCCTCAACAGCTAGAGCAAGGCCTAGAACTTAGTAAGCTTTCAGCTAGTAGTGCTTTATCTGTTATCAAGCAGTGACAACTCTCCTATTCTCCTTGTTCCTGTACATATATATATATATATATATATTCTACAATATTACTTCAGTAGAATATAAGATAACTACATGTGTTAAACTCATAATCTTTTACAAGTCACTCACTAACAATATTACTTTTTAATACATCAACCCAAAGTCTGAGAACAAGTTTGCTCAATGAGCAGTTGTCCTTGGGTCATATGCATTAATTTGAAAAGTAAACAATTTAAAAATATAATCAGGTAAGGCTTCCAGTGGAAGTATTGGGCTACCAACTCAGCCACAAAAACCTTCCACCTACAATTTGTCCTGCCTGCAAAATGTTCTGAGCTAAAGGTGGCACAGAACTTGTGGGAAATAAAAAGTTAAAAAAATACAATCAGGGCTGTTGAGATGACTCAGCAGGTAAATACACTGGCCAGCAAACCCCATAACCTGAGTTCCATCTGTAGGATTCTCACATTAGGAGAGGATAACAAACATCCCTTGACTTCCATGCAAGGCCCATGACCTAAGCAACTGCACGTCTTCTCTTTTTCTCCCCATCTTAAAGACTGACAAGATAAATATAACTAAAACACTAACATTAAAAAAGGAAAATGAGAAGGTGGAACCCTCTTCAATATAGTAGTTCTATTAATAATCAGGAAGATAATTATGTAAGGGTATTAAAATGCTTAATTTCTTTTTTTTAATAATTCAAATACATTTTAATTCCTGAATTTCCATCTGACCACAGTTTTGATCACAATTTCCTGCCTTCATTAGAACAGAGTTGCTAACGGCATCTTCAACTGCAATTACAACTTTTTATTGTTCATTCTTTTTTTATTTCTTATTACCTACATCCTTGTCAAGTATTCAGGAAATGATTACCTACAAAAATAGAAAAGGAAAGATGATAATAAGAAAGTTCTTTCTAGGGTCAGGCAAGAGAAGAAATAATTAGAGCGCACAGTGTTTCCCATTTCTTCAAGCATTACACATATATCTTAATATTTTATCATTAATTCTCTTAAAAAAACACATCAAGTACCATTAGCAAGTTCTTTAAATAAATAGTCATCCAACAAAGGAAGAAAATGAGATTAAGTCGTTTGTTCAGGCCACCCTAATAAGTTCTCCAGTAGACTCTTAACAGCATCTTACTCTTTCAATGTTTTAATGGCCAGAGCTACAAATGTTCAAATCATTTGAGTGACTGGGAAGTAAAATATAGGACATGGCAGGGGCTAGAGGGAGGAAAAGAAGGAAAAAATGACATAATTATACCATAAAATGTAAAAATAAGTAAATAAAATAATTTAAATAGGGTGTAAGTTTATGGAAACTAGGAGAGTCTGTAAGTTTTGGTACAGTGTAGTTAATAAGTTACAATTTTTTAAAGGTATACTTTTAGTTTAAAAGATACAGAAATTCTTCAAATATTTCGGTAGAAAGTTCTATTTAAGAATTTCAAAATGAGGATCTGGAGAAATGGCTTAGTAGTTAAGAGTTCTGACTGCTCTTCCAGAAACCTGGGTTTTCAGCACCAACATGGTAGCTCACAAACATCTTTAACTCTAGTTCCAGGGTCTCTGATGCCCTCTTCTGCCCTAAATACTCAGCAGACACATGTTGGTAAATTATCCACACACACACAAAAATAAATAATAAAAATAATCTTAATATAAGTATCTTAAAGAAAAAATATTTTAGGAATTTATGTTGAAGAATAAGAATAAATGGAATTTTAATACAAAGAGATATTTTATTTAATACTAATACTTTTTATTTAAAATTATTAAATAGATTCTTATTTAATATAGGACAGTGATTCTTTTATTAATTAAATTTTAACAGGCATATGACAAATATAGAGTATAAGATATTTAACCTGGTAAGCTTTGATGAAATTTCTACAAGTATTATCTCCTCCAAATATTTTTAATCTTATAAACACTAGAAAAAATCTAGAAGATGTATTATTTAACTGTCTTAGCATATCTACTGCACATCTGTGCTAAGCACTATTCTAGGCACATAGGACAGATGAGTGAATCAAAACTAAAACCCTTGCCTTTTGTCACTGCAGGTAAGTGAATGCAACTGGAAATAATCATATCAAGCTAATTAAGCCAGTCTTGGAGACAAATATTGAAATGTTCTCTCTCATATGTGGTTTCAAGAAAATAATGTATGCATATATGGAAACTTAAGTAAAACTGTACGGTAAGAAAAGGGGACAAGCTTGGGGGCACATGAGAAAAGGCAGAGTACAGTTGTGTGTGGGCTTTATGCTCAAAGTGTAATGTAAACCTGAATAAAAAGTCTTACATCTTCAATGGCCTTTTTTGAAGTTTCTAATCCAGTAGAGGGAAACAAGCAAATAATATAACCAATATTAAGCAAAAATGAATAGTGTGAAAAGTAGTTCCGGAGGAAAGGCACAGAGCGTGGGTGGGATGTTATTTTAGGTGGGAAGATCA